AGACTTAGAAACTACTGCTAAAGAAAATATACTCTTAAACCTCTTTAATGCAAACCTTTTCACAAGCGAGCAGCTCTCCTGTGTGTTCCTGGCCTACCAATTCAGGAAAAAAGACAAGGAAATGGAAACTTCACCAATGACTAGTCTGGGTGAGTTCAACTGGCTGGTTTCTAACGCTGACAGTGATAATTAAACAGATCCACCTCTATCAGAGAAATAACATGTGGAAAGTGTAAGAATACAGAGGAGGATGGCAACTGAGAGTTAGTCCATCTTAGTGTGTAGAAAAGAGTGTACTAAGCCGAGAATTGAGCATTCCAAGTCAGCCTCCTTTGAAGGGAGTTTAAATTAAATCTTGCTCTCCTCCCCACCTATCTGAGTAAAAGGACTCCTGTAACTCCATGATATGGGCACTATGGTCTTGGTAAATATCACCAGGATCCTCTTTGGGGAGATGGCAGAGGCCAACTCATCTAGAGCGTAATAATGGATGAGACTCCTCCTGGAACACTTCCCAGATGATACAATTATCCTGCCAGTTAACTGTGCCTCATAAGCAAGAGAATTTGAGGGTTCTGTGGATTTGTACATGATCTCTCTCTTTCTCTCTCTCTCACACACACACACACACGCACACACAACCAATGACTCTGCTAAATTACCCCCTTCTTTGCCTCTTCCGCACACACTGATCCCCCTCAAAAAGAGCAGAGCTAGGAAGACAAGCCAGGAAGGGGCTCAGCAGCAAAAGCTACAGCCTCCTACAACTCATCAACATTAATCTAAATCTTAAACTTCAACCTAGCAACTGTGTTTTCATTACCAATAAAGAATTAATTGTATCACACACTAAAAGGAGGGTAGGGAAAAGTTTACACGTTCCTCCTTGCTTACATTGTACTTAGGCCTCATTTCTAAGTGTGAGACTGGCTTGTAAATAATCCTTACCGTCTTTTATGTATATTTCTTTCTACTTTTATAGAGAAAGTCTATTTCTAGCCCTCGCAGACATGTCAAGACTTGTGACCCACCCATTCCAACAGTTACAAATTAATTTAAACAGGGAGTAAATATTTATAATTGAGACTTTGGATATGACATATATAAACATACACTGTTGTATATGTTTAATGTATTATTTCTAAATAAATGATGTTCACTTTAATCACTCACGTGAATGAAAATGTTTAAAACCAAATGGTTAAATGAAAGATGAATGTAAAATTCTAGTTCACTTTTTTAAATTATTGTATTTATAATGATTTAAATAGCTTCCTATGAAGAGGCCACATTCCAAAGTTGCAGTAAACGTCTCTGTTTTTATAAATACGTTTTCTTTCTGCTGTCATTGTTGTTTGTTCCATTGAAGTGAGAGGCTAGCTGGACTCATTTCAAATGTCCTTATATTATATGTCACTCTAAGGAAAATGTTTTCCAGATAAGTTGTAAAGAACGTTTTTTTTTAATGGCAGGTATTTTATTATCTCTGGCCATTTATATTATAGGTGTGGGATCCTGTTTTATATGGCACCCTGCTACCGTGGAACTTTTCTGTTAGCTGCTTTAGTTGGAAAGCTGCTGCCAAATAAAACAGTAGGAGGAAAACTGTAAAAAAAGCTTTAAAATGCTAAAAAAAGAAATAAGCGAACAAGCAGCCATCTAAACATAAACTAGAGGACTATTCCCACGACCTATGTTTGAGGGAAAGAAAGAGAAGAAGCGGCAGAGAATTAACAGAATTCCAATTTCGAGCCACACTCATAGTCTTCAGAAGAAGTAGAAATTACTCCAGACAATGACATGTAAGCTGTTGCGCTAACATTGTTCTGTCACAAATCTCAGAAATTATTTTAGGTTCGATGAGTCTGATGTCTTAAGATTCTCTTCCAAAATGAGAGAGAATGAGATAAAATTCCAAAAGAGAAATTAACATCATGAATTAGTTCTGCTGACTTAAGGCCTTTTTTGTTAGCATAAAAACAATGAAATCAGCAGTGACATGATGAGAGAACTTGCAACTATAACAATAAAAAACGCTCTGCTGAGGCAAGCTCAGGGAATTCTTCAACGCAAACACAACTATGGAAAATCAACTTGAAAAATGGAATATTTTCAATAACACCCTTTCACAAACACTTGCTATATTATATAGTCAGTGACCAGTATAACTTTGGAATATGAATCTCATACTATCTTTGATTCAGGCACCCTGCTCTTTTACAGATATGTGATTTATTCAAAACACTTCTGTTTTTTTGGATTGGAATGCATGTAACTGGAAGAGTACTAAAAGTGAAATATGTAACATATTCTTTGGTATTTGAATGATTAGTATCTTTCATTATTCAGATTTGGCCCAAACAAATATGTAAACTAAACATCTACTTTAATCTTTACAAGAAAGGCTGTTTATCAAAGAGAAGGCAGTTAGCATGTATGGAACCCAGGATAAGGCAGTCAGTCCCTCTGTGAGTCAGGCATTCACTTAAATAACACTGCTGAGCACTGTCAGGAGCCAGGTGCTCTGGATTCTGGGCATTCACACACAGGGACCCATTCACAGGCCTTAGTGCCCCAACTCTCCCATACTGCAGGTGCCATTGCTGGGACTGCCAAGGTTCAAAGAGGTTACGTCACTTACTCAAGCTCAAGGCAGAATGTAGACAGGAATGCAGTACCACAGGTCCTTCTACCTCCTCACAGCTGTCCTCTGGAGCTATGTGGGGAATTTCATCATTTATTCCATAATACCTTGAGCCTAGGAAGAGTTCATGAATCTCAATAGGTTAAGTCCTGAATTCACCTCAGGACCAAGCCCAGAATAAATCAGATTATTTTATGGTCCCTTCACATGTATCTACTTAATGTGAGGCCAGAGGGCATTTTCCTATTACTACTCACAGAGGGACTGCCTTCCCTTTTGTTTTGTCCATCTTTTCTCTTAACTAGCTGTTCAACAAGAAGCATGGCCCTCTAGAAAGAGGTCTGGCCTCGTCCTTCTAAATGTCACGAGGTATGTCCTAGATCAGTCTGAAGAATAATGTATCAATCAATTTCCAGTACTGTATGATAACAGAATATGACCAGAAGCATCGTAATAGTAAAGAAGAATATTTTGCAGGCAGCTTTATAAAACTATTGGGAAATAAAAGTATGTTGAAGAGGACTAGTAAAATATAATGCTTGAAATATATCTTTGGATGGTCATCAATTAATATTACCACGACCTGTCCTCTTTCCTAATACTCACTCTCAAGTTATGCCAGCCTATCCAGCGTCTCTCCAACAATAATCAAACATCTGAAAGGAGCACTGACTGAATCAAACACAGAGGTAAGTTCATGAAGACTTAAAGATGATCAAAGGGTCTCACATTCCCTTAAAATCAATGACAGGTAGTAAAATAATCGCTAGCATTTTACAAAGCGACAATATCAAGGAAATACATCTAGTCTCATCAAGCTATGTACGTCTTCCTAAGAAAAATATTTGTGGCCTTCATCACACAGGACCAAATAAGTGAACAAAAGCAAGTCACTTGTCCATACCAAAGAATTGAAAGTAATACGTTATTACTTTTTCAGGCTGACTGATTCATTGTTCATTTCACAACGATTTATTGGGCACCTACTTACTAGGCACCAAGCACTAGGGATACAGTGATGAACAAGAGAGACATGGTCACTACCTCCTTAAGGCGTACAGTCTAGGAAGCAGATAAGTAGAAGACATTCTCAAAAATATATTATTATAAACAATGACAACTGGGATGAAAAAATTACAGTTTGTTTTGAAGATGAATAAAAGTAACCCTGATATTTAAATACTGATTCTGTGAAAAGTGACATATTACTAAAACTATTAATCCTATTGTAGTTTCTGTTGCTTCCCTTGCCTTGTAACTTAAAAAGCTTTTAAGCTTTTTTTTTACTTCTTTTTACACCATCTGGTTATAATGTCAGAGCAATGCAGAAAATGAGACGTACACAAGCAGATACAGATAAAGTGCTACATAGATGGAGACACAGGACATGTAAACAGGGAACAAGAAGCAATTTGGTTGGGCAGGGCTTCAGCAAAATGAAGTGGGGAAATAGAGTTCAGGCTGGAAAGGAAAGGAGGGACCAGGTATAGAGGGCCTCAATTATCGGGCCAAAGTTTCCAGACTTTTTCAGTGGAGAGAAGGAAACCTCTAAAGAATGGAGAACATGAGTGTATAAAGGCTGCTATTTCTGGGAGATTACTTTAGGAGCAATGGGCAAAATACATAAGGAAAGGGAGAAACAGTGCTCATGAGTATCATTTAAGGGACTATCACAAGAATTAGTCAATAAGAGTGTGGGTTACCACTGTATCAATGGGATTGAAAAGAAGAGGCAGGTAGGCTATATTGAGGAAGAAGAATTTTTCATGAGTCTGTAACCGACTAGATATAGAAGACAGCCTACTGAGCATTCAAGTCCATGATTCCACAGGGAACAGTTAAGCTATTAGCATAAAGTAGGACGGACAACAATGAGTTTGATTTTGAACCCACTGAGTTTGAGGTGTTGGTGGCACATCCAGCTGAAGCTTATCAGAGAGGGCAGGGCTAGAAACATAGATCTGTCACCCTCTTAGAAGTGACTGTTGATGTTGGAAGGATAGGCAAAGAGAGCATAGGCAGAGGAAATCACTGATGGCAGAATCTTAGGAGAACCTTAAACTTAGTGGTGGTGAAAAGATGCTGGGGATGGGCCTTACCCTCTGCTCATTACATTGAATCGTATACTCACCTACGTTTAGGACAGAGTCTCAAAAAACTTTTTAGGACTTAACTGATATATTTCATCAAAAGAGTTCCTCTTTAATCATATCTCAGTGTACGGGCTAATATTTTGTAAAAACACAGCGAATTAGTCATTCTATCAGGTTAACAACACAATGTATATCAACATTGTTTACTAAATCTTGGTAAAGTTGAATTAAGTGTCCAGCTAAGGAATTAGGGATTTACATACCTGTGGAACCCATCGGGAAGACACAAAGCTGGTCACTTCTATTACAGACAAGCCAGTTTGGGAAAGTTGATTGATAAATTCAATTTTTATATCTGTAGGAACTATAACCTATGAAAACATTAAATATTATAAGTAAATCTGTATAGAGCCTATTGAAACATAAATAGAAAATTACTTAATAACTTAAAGCAAATCCTATTTTAGATTCATACATTCAAGTAGCCATTGAGAACAAACATAATGATGTCATATATGAAATCCATGTTTAGAATCTTAATAAATATTAATATTTAGTGTAAAACTAATATCAAACTACCTTTTCATTCTGCAATCCATCCCTTGGTCCAACTTCTACTATTTTAACATACTCAGGGAGTCCAGAAAACTGAGATGATTCCTGAAATGGAAAGTATAAGGCAAGAAAAACAGACAACTGTTAGATCATCAAACATGCTTATGTGAAAAGTCAAACAGTTACACTTTGTTAAATCAAGTAAGAAATCAACACAATGATATAATCCAAATACCAAGTTTATATTATTGGCAGTCTGAGCTCTTCTTTTTCTTATAACTCAGTGATACTCAGTCTAGTTGTGATTAAAATTCAAAAGATTAATTTCTGAAACATAACTGTGGAAAAGACACCTTACTCAAGATCTAAAGAGCAAATCTACTGAGTAATTCTACATGTGATGATAAACTGACTATGGTCAGAGTTCATTCAAAAATTAGATCTTTGTATCAACAAGATTCTACCAAGTACAGTCATACAGATGCCACACTCCATAGCCTGAACTTGAGGAGCATGGATTTGATTTTCCAGCCTGTGCCCAGAAAGCTGAGGCTAGAGAAGAAGGTGTGCTGTTTCTTTCTTTTCTATGTCACACAGCACAACCAGCCCCTAACACAGCTTCCTGAAGGACAGACTTTCCAGTAAGACCTAACCCTAGCCCAGCTCTAGCCCAGTGGAACACTCTGTTCTATTTTTCGCCCAAATATGAAATGACAGAGGGTCTGGACTCTGGAACCCCTGTCCCTAAACTAAGAACTATGAATACACCATAGTTAGAAGAACACTAGTTTAAAACAGGAAAAATAGGAAAAGCCTTTCTCAACTTCACATTTGTGTTGTCTCACTCTGTCCTTGAAACAATTACTGGTCTATACTGGTGAAGTGGCTGTTTTGGATACAGGACCCAGTTTGTTTCTATGACACAGAAAATGCTCACTTGCCCTTTTTCGGTCCATAGTGTTATCTGGTTTTATTAGCATTCTACGCTAACTCACTCAGCAAAGGAATCCAGATGGTCCCTGTTACAAGGTTTACATACTACCCTCCACAGTTTCCATGAAATCAGGCAATTCAATATGTAAAAATTAACCAAGAAGGAAAAGAATTCTCATTTCTGCATCTTCTGAGCAGATTGTGATGCAGGCATTTGGGAGGGTGGGGGTGAGAGAGGAAGATGAGGTCCCTTATCTTTAGGCTCAGTTTTGGATGGTAATCATGAAATTGTGCCTCATTTACAGAGTGCCCATAATGTCACCCAGGCAATAAGGGACAGGGATGGCATGGGAAGGTGGAGTAAACAAGAGAAGCTCACGCCTCTTTCTTATTACCTCCAGTCCTAAGACTGCAGAAATGAACAGGCACAACGAAAACAAAACCAGGCAATCTTAAGGCATGTGGCCTCCTTATTGCTGATTATTTCCTGAAACTGCGTTTTCAACAGCAATTAGCTTGGAGCATTCACGGATGAACAATACTTTTTTATTAAACAGCAAAGTTTAACCAAAAAAAAAAATAAAAAAGGAACATGGGTTTTTTAAAGTGATAACAAAATGCTACGTACAATTAAAGAGCTCAGGACCTTCTTTTGCGTCACTGTTGTAGTTAGCAGAATTAAAAAACAATCTGAAGAAATTAAAGTATAAACCACTACCAATCTCAGCCATTTCAGTCAAAGCAGAATACGTGCTCACTTGATATTACTTTGGATTTCTTCTTGAATCTAATGCTACTATTTTGTCTTTCTAGGCATGGGTATGAGTTCCCTCTGCCTGAATACCTGAGAAATCAGAAGAAAGTTAAAATGTGTCGGGTAAGGTCAAAGAGTAACAGGAAGGAGGGAGGGAAAGAGAGAAAGAAAGAAAAAAATAACGTCAATTAACACATACTTATGGAATATGCACGATGCGAGAGTCCTCTCTTGGTGATCTTTAATCTCTTTCTGGGCATTACTATCTCTGTATTGACTTTTCTAAGGAGCTTCTGCTATACAAAAACAATGCCTACTGGGAAAATCTCCTTAAATGTTGAACAAGCACATAGAATTCAATAATTCAAAATAGATCTCATTATTTCCCCACCTCATGCCTCTGCTCAGATATTCCCCCATCAGATGCTACTCTTCACCTTCTCTCTTACCACTTATATCTAATTAGTCCATTTATTACCTGTTCTATTTCAGCATACACCCAGCACAAAGCTTGACACTTAGACTGTGCTCAATAATTATCTGTTGATTATACTAGCGAACCTCTCCTGTCACTGGCCTCATTAAAATTGTCATTTTTTCTCATCCAGTCTATTTCTATGGCTCCCTAAATATTCTCCCTAATCTTGCTTTTCCATTTTTAAAATTCTTCAGCATCTATCAGTCACCTTCAGAGAGATCTATCAGCCTATGGTAAAAGACGATTCACGACTAGCCTCTCATCTTCTACCACACTCTACTTCATGCATCCTCTGGTTTCAGCCACGCTAAAATCACATCTTCCTCACTTTCAGGTCTGTATACATGAAGTTTCTGTCAGCTGGAAAGAGCTTCCATCTGTGGGAAAGACTTTCCATCAAATCCATTTCTCTTCCTCATGGACACAGGACTAGACCGCATTTCGCCCCCACCTAAGAGCTATCTTTGAACAAGTTCCAGTCAATGGAATGTAAAAGTGAATGATATGCACTACTTTTAGGCTTGGTCCATGAAAACCTCCCATGTGCATTTCTCCATGCTCTTTCCCCTTCAGCCAGCTTGATGCAGATGCACATGGCAAACTTAGAAGCTGATAAACGCAAAGAAAATTGAAGGAGCCTACATCCTTGAATCACTGCTTGAATAAGAATTCCATGCCAAGAAGCACCTATCACTTTGTACCTTATATGGACAAAAATAAATGTCAACTCTTTTAGACAATTGAGATTAGAGGTGTATCTTTTATAGCTACTAATTGTGAAGAATGTTGAAGGGTCGTAAATCTTACCCTACTTGTGAGCTAAGAAGTAAGCCTGCCATGGACGCTGGTGGAAGGCACAAGACTCCTGGGTCAGAGAAGAAAAACAGCTTATCACTCACAGCAATAGCAATAGCTAGACGATCAGGATCTGTGCTGGGTTCTCAAGCCCCAATTCCCCAACTGAAGCAAAGAGAACCATGTGACACTTGCACAGGCAATGTGTTGCATTACAGGAAAGGAACCCTAAGCACAGAGAATCCGACTCTTGGTAATGGGCAGCAAGCATATCTTCCCTCGGCAATGGAGATAGACATTATCTTTATTATGCTGGACCATGAGCATGCCTGTCTTTTGCTTCAAAGGAAGACACTATCTCTCTCATCTGCAGCTTTAAGTACACTTCGCCTTTGCTACAGAAGGAGGCATTATTTCTATCATGCAAAGCTGTCTCCCGTATAGAAAGTCTTGAAAAGATAGTCAGGAACTCAGGAACAAAGGCAATTGTGACTCTGCTTGCAAGATATACAGAAATTCAAGATACCAGTGGAAAATTATTTCCCAATAATATCCTCTCTTTATTTTTATGTCATCTTGGTTTATGGCAAACTTTTCCAATTAGTTAAGCTACTCTGTTGGCCTCTCTGATTAATGTGTCGAACAGATGCTGAGACCAAATTTGTTCAACCTATGTCATAAAACATTTAATTAAGGCTACGTTCAACAGCATTCCCAATAGCAGGAGAAAGCCAACCTGCAGCATTGACTTCAGCCATGCCCCCTCCTCCCAGGGGTCCTGGACCCAACCAGCTGAACAAATCCTTAGCAGTAGTGGCCTCTGCATCAGAAACCAAGAGTTGTTTACTTTGTGCCTATTTTATGATGGTGGATGTTGCCATGTTTACTACTACGATGGATCAGGCAGCAATGGTGGCTGGCCATGCAGGTGATGCCTTGATCAGCAGCTTGATTGCAGTGGGCCTCATGAGAGCATGGGCCTCGAATGATTCAATCAGCAGAGTGACTTGTTTCCACAATCCAGAGCTCCCCAAAAATGTGTCTTTAATCTTTCGGTCTGTAGTTTTCCAAATGGCAGGTAAATAAGCTAGACCACTGACCACAACCCAAGAGTCAGTAAAAATACAGGAATGGCCATGCGTTCTACTGAGTGAGGACAGCAATCACATTCATTTTCAGTTCTGCACAGCTGTTATGGAGGTTACACAACTGCAGCAGCCCAGTGGACATGAGGTCTCAGCTTAGCCAAAACAGCATCCAACCAGCCCCAGGTGTTAAGAAAAGAACAGAGGGGCCCCACTGAGCCAGGAGCTCTGTTTTAGCCAGTGGAGTGGGCAGCATATGGTAACTGCTACTTTTTTTGTGTAAAGCTGAGATTGCACTGGGAATAGGCTAACCGCTTTCCTGAATATACCATTTCCATTTGATTAGTGAAGCCTGTTGAGACTGTCCTACCTTGTTAGTCATTGAGTCTAAGTTGACTCCCCAAATGGAAATAGGCCAGAGAGTCACAAGGCCTCCATGACTCAGGTATCCAGTTTCAACAAGAGCTCAATAGCAAGCGAATAGCTGATTTTTAAAAGATACCTGGTAGCTGTGTCAGGGAAGTGAGGGCTCCAAAACCCCAAGCAGCACCTCCAGGTAGAGGCTGCCTGACTTTATCAGAAGCTCTCATTCGCAAAGTCACTTTGAGACTTGTAGCTCAACGAAGTCAGAAGGATTTGGGGACCCCCAAATATACGTTCACATCACTACACGCAGCTCTTCCTAACTGAAATGTTCCCCTCTGGCACTTATGGGACAGAAAATTATAATCACATCGTATGTCAACTTTCACCACACATTCAGATGTGGAAGCAATAACAGTCCATTGAATTGGGCCCAAAGCCCCACCCCAAGGTTACTTTGGCTCTCCTTTCCCACTGCAAACCCTGCCCGGACCCCATCAATTCAATCAGGACTCCCACTCTTGTGGGACTGAGCAGGCTGGTGACTTTGATGCCTTTATCTGACAGAGTCATAAAAGTTTGAGTCCCTGGTCTCCCCAAAATTCCCCAGCATTTTCAGATGGATGATCTTCAGGCACCGATAACCATCTTTATCATTAAAGTAGCAGAAGGAGGAAGGTTGGGAATAATCAGGGGA